GCCTATTAATTAACCTTGCATAGGAGCCTGTCGTCACCTACTACAATGCCTTCTCCTCCTTATCATCATCACATTATCATCATCATCATCATCATCACCTTCATCATCGCAATTATTATTTGCTAAAACGGGGGAAATATATTAATTCAGTGTGTATTCATTCATCAATAGAAGTCTCGTAATGCACGTAAGTGCATTTCTCAGCATCTAGAAAAAGCAAAACTCTGCGAAGCTAGGAGAACCCCAAGAGTAGCGTGTAGAGGGGCCTATTCTTATAATTTTCTCCAAGGGCCACTAAATTATATATAAATCATCAAAGAAAGGTAAATACAGTGTTCGAATAAAGGACATAATAATACATCGGGTTCGAGTCCCGCCAGAGGCATATTATTACACAATTTCTTTATTCATTTATTTACAGGACTACATTCGTTGGGAGCTATGCTAGACGATGTATTATTATGTCCTTTATTCGAACACTGTATTTACCTTTCTTTGATGATTTATATATAATTTAACAGTGTTAAAGGTTACCTTGATTTATATATATATATATATATATATATATATATACATACATACATACATACATATATATTTATAAGTCGTTGAAACAAAAAATTATGACAACAAGGCATGTAGACTGTAGAACACTTCAAGTAAGTACATTCAGTAAAGCTGATGAAGGCCAGAGGACTGGCCGAAAATTTCTTTCGAAAATAAATGAAGTGTTCTACAGTCTACATGCCTTGTTGTCATAATTTTTTGTTTCAACGACTTATATATAATTTGAAGAACACACGTGGAGTTATAAACTGTCTCTTATACACATCTAGATGTGTATAAGAGACAGCTATTTTATTGCACTACAGGCTGTTTCATGAGGGGTGCCTCAATCATCAGGTGCTAGGCTCTGAGTGAAGGAATAATGAAGTACATAGATTGTTTATCAGAACAAAAGTATGTTAATTACCAAGTGATTAAGTCTCTATTGTTTAGATGGATAAAAGAAAGCCTACAGGATTAAGTAGTATATTGTAAAAAGAACTTTCGTCTATGTCTACATGAACTGTATATATATATATATATATATGTATATATACATATATATTTATATATACATTTATATATANNATGTACTCTTTCACAGTGGGGAGGGGCGTAGGTTAGCAAAAAGGGTATGTTTTGTACTCTCGTGAAAATAATACCTAAGTTAAATGATTTAAAGTTTTCTTTTTATTTTGAATGAAAAATAAATGCGATCGTTAATATCGATCTTGATGTATGTAAACCTGTAATCATATGACTACTTATACAAATTTTACTATATTATAGGCCTAGACTAGGACCAGGCCTCCTACTATAGTATAGAGGCCTAGTCCAAGACCTTGTTGCAAATCCCAGCCCACATAAGCCTAACCTATAATGCCAAGCATAGGGCTCGTGATCGCGGTATCTTGACCATTAAAAATTAGCAGACGCACTGGGAAGCGTTGTTCACGGCATTGGACTGCAGCGAAAAATGATTCCCCCATCATTAATGGGAGCAAAAGTCCGTTTCTAGTGTTGTTGTCAAATGCATTTCATAACCAGGCTGGTTTTTGATTTACGTTTTGGAATAGAATTTGGAGAGGGTGTTTGATCAAGTCAGAACTACGTTTTGAATTTGAATTACATTTTAAAGAAATTAGAACTACATTTTGAAAAATTTCAACTTCATTTTGGGAAACTAGATCTACATTTTGAGAAATTTACGCCTACGTTTTGATAAATTAGACATTGAATTTTGCAATTACATTTTGATTTTAACATGGACTTTTGCTGCGTATGGCACCCCATACTGGTGATCCCAACTCAAAATAAATGTTGGCCCTTTAAACAAATTAATTAAGAATCAGGGGTGTAGGAGTATAACAGGAGGGGTAGAAAGAGTGTCGAATGTTAGGAAAGTTTCACCACCGCAGCCTATTCATTTTTTGTTTGAGTAATGAATGTTTGTGTACATAGTTTGCGTGCTCAAATTAAACATACATTGAAACTCGAATTGTACGTGGCTTTATTAAAAGTATTTTTGTTCATGTACCTGATATTGTCAATAAATACTCCCTAAAAACAGCTTAAAAATGCTAAGATCGTCAGAACGCCCCCACCGGGGCCCTGACCCATGGACCCTTGCGGGGGCTCTGCTGGCCGCCGGCCCGCCCGAGTTTCAAATCACGTATTTCAATTATTTCAGGTTGGTAACTATTTAACTTACCTAGGCATAGGTTGGCGGATCGGACAAAATAGGCTTAGAACAACTAGCATTCGATTAAATACAATTAAAAACAGTTTTGGCTTGACGTCGTAATAATTTATGTACGAAAGTGTGTTCTTCAGGCCTCTCAGTTCATCGATCTATGAAAGAAAGACTACGTATCCAACTATTCAATAATGTTGATTTCCGGCCATCTAGGAATCAAAATTTTCCCGGGGGAGGACCCCGGACTCCCCTTTGATTTTTGGGTTTATGGGAAAATGAACCCCCCTCTTTCAAATCCTGGATCCGCCCCTGATAATATTCTGGCTTTGTCTACTAATTGTTCAACCGGCACGGGTTGAAGATACCGTAGACGACAATTAGACTGTTATGCCAAAGGCTTATTTTTTTTCATTAGGCCAACGTACAACTCTATAACGTTTATGGTCTTAATAATGATGATGATGATGATGATAATTGATGTTAAGTGAGGTAATAAAGCAAGTTATCGTTCCAGTAATAGGTAAGTTTTAAGATTTTTCCTAAAAGACAGCAAATTAGACGAATCGCGAACAAAAAGCGGTAAGGAATTTCATGTAAAGGGGACTTTGAAAATAAAAGGCACGTTGACCATAAGTCTTAGAGCACAATGCACTATGACATGATTAAAAATAATTCTTCCTGTTTGTTGGACATTGTTCAGTTTCATTTTAAATTAGATAAACACCATTAATACATTTCGGAAGCCATATCTTCTTATTTTGTTAATTTCTTTGTTTCCGTATAGGCGTCATGCTAAAGTATAATGCACTATAAAAATTCTTTTTTGAAAGCCTATTTCTAAAGCAATTGAAATATTGGCAGGCACGTTTATCAATTTGTTTGAGCTATTGTTCAACAAACGCCAACATTTTTCCCTGCACATTTTTGCCAACATTATTCCCTGCACATTTTTTTTTTTTTTTTTTTTTTTTTTTTTGCTATAGAGGAATCAGGTGTGGATCCAGAATTTGTTTAAACGGGGGTGCACAATATTTTCCGAATAGAAAATTGATCTGCATTGAAATGAAAAAAGTTGCTAAACGCTGGGCGGGGGAAGCCGGGGGAGAGGACGTGTCATCATCATGGTGGCGGTGTTGCTTAGATGAATGTAGACTCACAAATCCCCCACCCCCAACTATACCTTTCAAAAAAGATCTTTGCCCTTCCTCTGGAGCGCCACATTTATTATGGGCTTATTTTTATGTCATTATTCCTTCCATCACTCAACAATTTCACCACCTATGTCATTATCATCCTCTTTATACCCATCGCAATAACTCCTGAGAATTCAGGAAAGTACATATACAAGCTAGAACATTCGGGACCACCAAAAAGGTGTCGCTAGGGTGGGTGGGGGGGGGTGGGCGGGGGGGGGGGGGGGCAACTAAGCAAAAATGTGAAATTGACCCCTTAGCATTCATACTTTGAGGACGTATTCTTTGATATCAGTTGATTTCTAAATTGTTTCAATAATTTAAAATGCAAATACAATACATTTATGATGGAGTAGGCCTTATAAGTGTTATTAAAACAATAAAAGTCGTTCCATATTCCAGTACTATGACAGATAAAAATGAATAGAGTAATAACTTAAACATTAGGGTGCAGATTACAGTATAGATTTCAATGGCGAATTCAAGGGGGAGAGCTGAGGGAGTGGAGGGCAGCCGGCCAGGGCCCCTCCCCTAAATATTTCGAAAATATAATACACATGGAGGAAAAATGAAAATTATATTCAAATTCAGGCCATTCAACATTCAAATACTTTGAGATCTTTGGTCATGGAGTTTTGTGACCCAGTTTGACATGTTTGTGATGGGCTGTAGACAAATATATATAAAAAATAGTTTTTCGTTGGTTGTGACCTTGAACTTTGAACCTGACCTTTCAAAATTTGATCAGCTCTAGATCTTAGGTAAAGGCACATTGTGGCCAAGTTCGACGAATTTCTGATAAAATCTATGGGCTGTAGGCTATTCACAAAAAATATGCCGACAGACAAATAAATAAATAAATACATAAATAATTAAACAGGGGAAAAAACATAACCTCCTGCCAACTTTGTGGGCGGAGGTAATGAGATTTTAGTCATGGAACATTGTGACCAAGTTCGTGATTAAAACTATGGGCTGTAGACAAATAAATAAAAAATAGTTTTTCGTTAATTGTGAAATTGATCTTTCAACCTGACCCTTCAAAATTTAATCAGCTCTAGATGTTATAGGTAAAGGAATATTGTGGCCAAGTTTGATGAAAATTTCTTATAAAAACTATAGGTAGGCTGTTCACAACAAATATGCCGACAGACAAATAAGTAACTAAATAAATAAACAGGCAAAAACATAACCTCCTGCCAACTTCGTTGGCGGAGGTAAAAATAGTAAATCACATGATATTACTATGTAATATGGACTATTATTATGGAAATGGCTCATGAAAATACAGTTTCGCTCGCCCCGCCCATTGGATAATGTAATGTTCCACAGTACACATACCTAAACCGTGCTTTTGTTAGATAATAGGTGTGTTTGTGGGACAAACGTATTCATTGCCCTGTTCTAATTGGTCAAGTTAGACTGACACTCTGTCTAGTGATTTAGATAATTTTAACCATGTTCATATAAAAGGCGGTATTGTAGTATCACCCTGCTGTTAAATATACTAGGAGGTAGTATTAAAATAATACATTTTTGTTTTTGAAGAATCCCAAATTAAAACGATGGATGTAACAACACTGATTTATAGTATAATTGGTACATTCGGCTGTTCGACTAATGGGTTCGCGATATTCATTCTATTTCGCTTACAGAATCGGTTCAGTACAACAACACTTCTCATCTCAAATCAGTGTATCATTGACTTTTTCGCATCTTTGACGTCGCTTTGTCTTTTTCTCGATCCAGAGTTAATGACTCGGCTCCCAGAATCAAATATCGCAGCAGACTTTGTTTGTAAGGTCTGGTCAAGCAAATACATATTCTGGTCATGTACATATGCTTCAACGGCTAATCTTGTCGTACTTACATTTGATCGTTACTTTGTTGTAATGTATCCAGTAAACTACAATTTAACCAAGGAAAGGTTTAACATGAAAGTATTGCTTTTGCTAATTCCCTGGATATGTGGTTTTGGGTTCATAATCCAGTGGCTAATGGTACACAATGTAAAGGACGGAGAGTGTATCCGGACTTGGTCAAGTGTTGGTTATGAGAAAGCGTTTACTTTATTGTGTGGCGTGTACATTCTTGTCATTCCTATTAGTGTAATGTTGTTTGTTTACGTCAACATTTATCGCGCACTCCGAAGAGATGGAGATGGTTGTTCTGCGGTGAGTGCGAACAGAGCGGCCAGACGACTGAACATTATTAAGACAATGCTGATAGTTAGTGTAACATACGTTATTTGTTGGTCTCCAAACGAGATATGTTATATCTACTTTACATTGGGAGGGGAGTTTAATTTTACCGGACCAGTTTACTACATTGGAGTAGCAATGTCTCTGTGTAACATCTGTATAAATCCCATAATATACACATTCAAATATAATGACTTTAAAGTAGGTGTAGAGAAATCTCTGCCATGTCTTAAGAACTTACCTACTCTACCATGTCGTAAGTCTGTATCCACACCACAAACAACTTATCCATTAGGAACTGTGTCTACAAACGTCCTGACATAATCCCTGATTGTCAGCAGATACGGTATAGTAGATGGTAGGCCTACAGCTGTTTCGGAGAAATGCATTGCCTGATCGCGTTATCTAGAACTTTTGTAGTTGATCCCGCTCACCGTGATAAAAGATTGAAAAAGCAAAATACTGTGGAATTTCAAAAGGAAAATGACTTTCTGATACCAGCCAATAGTTTACTAAACACAGATGTGTCCTAATTTACAAATGCCTTCCAACATTTATAAAACATTATTAACAAAGAAAGATGAATTCTAGCAACATGTAATGTCGAAATTTGTCGTAAATGAAAATATTCTTTTTATTCTTCAACCTATCGTCAAAGTATTAAGAAACCTTTAAAATTAGACGTCGTATATACCATACCTAATTGGCAAAGGAAAAACATATAATGGTTATCGTGTAGCGTGCGTAAAATCGAAAAGCTTCTTTTTCTGTCAAACCTAAACTCAGTGAAGAGGTACAGAGGTGGACAGCAGTGGAATATGCACTAATGTTTTTTTGTTTTTTGTTTTTGTTTTTGTTTTTGTTTTTTTGTTTTACAACAGTGTATACTTTAAGACTTTGTACATCTGTTTAAATGAATCAGATTATCATACTGTAATGTAGTCTATAATGTAAGCTCAATACTTAATATTATAATGTTCTGGAATTTAGCTATTGGCAATCTCAAAGGTATTATTTATTGAGAGTAAGATACATACTTAACGGTGGCTCCAGAAATTCGCCGACAGGGTCTGACATGTCCAACGGGGAATCCCAACCAAGTTAACGAATAGAGCCTCAGTCCGAGTCCCGGAATAAATAAATCCCTATTAGGGTTTACAGGGAGAGTTTTTACAGATTAGTATGGTCCATATTGTGCTCTTACAACACAATACTAGGAATCTATTTTGATAGACACATTATATTTTGTTTAATTTTTGATCCGACATTAAATTATTCATTTATTTATAGGACAACATTCGTTGAGAGCTATGCTACACGATGTAGTATTGCGTCCTTTATTCGAACACTTTATTTACCTTTCTTTGATGATATACATATATATATATATACATATATATATATATATAAAGGTATATATATATATATATATATATATATATATGTAGCCTATATAAGTAGTTTAGCTTACGATAACTATCCATGATAAAGTCCAACAGTTGACCATTGTACTATAATGTATGTCCATCATTAACGTTAGTGACAACCGGTTTGACAGATGCACAAAGACCTCCCTATAGTGTAATTTATGTTCGTTCCTACCAACCTATCTTCCTGGCCATCAGCTGGAATGTGAATTATACATATAAACAAGACACCATAATTGTGTTCTGGTTACATTTATTTTAAAAATCCAACTCACAGCGTGGCGTTTAAACCAATTACGATTAATTTCATAGAGTGTGGATGAGAGGCGTTATAATCACCTACAATCATTACAGGACTTGATTCGCAACTCTGAAGTACATCAAGAGTCTCCGCATAAAGTTTAACCTGATCAATGCAATTGTCAAAGTGGGATAGGCCTACGTATACGTATACTCCAAAGATCGTCATCATAATATTTCCATTATTAATTATTTGAAGTGCACTCTACCGTGTTTTATGGCGTTCACTTTAAAAACAATGCCTGGAGTTAATTTACAGATAAAGCTGACGCCTCCATAAGGGCGACCAGTAGTGATTTCTTCGTGAGTAATACTGGATGTTAGGTATGATTGACAACTTAAGAACCAAAGAATTTATCAATATTAGATATTTCGTGCACACACAACCAGTGCTTAGAAGGGAATAATATCACAAACGCTTATTACTAAGTGAGTGTAAAGCACTATTTAATCCCTAACAATTAAAAGATAAAATATTCAGAACTTTATTTTGACAGTCCATAAAATTAAAGAGTTCAAATTTTACCGTGGTACGTGCAGCAAGAACAGACACACTTTTACAGAACAGTTAGAATCTCGCGCAGCCTGTTCTGCCTGTGCCATTTATAGGTCGACCTACTAGTTCCTTGAGGCTGATATGACCTGTTGTGACGATTGTCAAGTCTGGTAATAAAGTCTCTTATGTTATTTCTGGCCATAGCCTTCAGTTTAGGAGCCTTAACTTTGTGTCCTTAGTTTCAACTACAACACAGAAGGCTGCCGGTGAATTTGGTTTATTTCTATTCTTAAGGGAGAAAACGTCGGCAACATTAACAATGTCATTATCACGGATATGCATCCTAATGTCTTGTACAGTAGTTTCTTGATGTAGACCACATACGAAAACATGGAATAAAGGAGGAAGCTCTTCACAGGCCTTATAGCCTGGGTTCCAGGCCCTAATTTTAGGTTACTCACTCTTTATTGCACTTAGTGCGCGCCATACCTAATTTAATTGGCGTCCCATACTCGATTTCTTTTTTTTTTCGAATTAGGGCCTGGGCAAACGATTCATGCGTACGCTTTCCCACATCAAATTTGATGTGGGATATCGTATGCATGACTGATTTTGTAAATCACGTGACTGGCTAACTTCATGCATATTAATCAATGTTGGTAAACTTTCAAAATTGAAGATGCGGATGTCTCGACTAGAACAAGAACCAGCTCCCTTTTTGCTACCTATACTTGAATTAAAACAGTTAGTATAGTTCTGGCCTGCTGAGAACGACATGGACTGATAACCTTAGGCTATAGGAACCTTGCTCACCGCTAGCTGCTACACAGATTTAGGCCTTTAAGGTAGAATATTGTTAAAAAGGTAGGCCTCTGTAAGTAAGAACTTAAAAATACGCCAAGCCTAGTCTAAGCTAGGCCTACTCCTGACTCCAGACGGCCTGATCCATCCTCATGGAAAGTTTTGTTGTATTTGTATGGTATGCCATCTAGTCTAAGCTTAATTGTTTTTGCCATTGCCAAAATTAGTCTTACTAGGGTCTATTCTAAATATTTTAGGCCCGTTTTATTAGGGAGGACAATTAAATTTAGTTATGCCTAACTAGTCGACGCGAGTGACTCAGTTTCGTGGCTCCAAAAATATGAACATTTGATTGGTTGAAATTGTTTATTTCGGTTCGCCCATTTATCCAAATACGGAATATAAGATTACGTCATTCTTTTGGCATCCTGGTGCCTGCATTCAGTGTTTTACAAGTCGCTTATTCCGTCTATCTCTAAACTAGAAATTGCAAATTGCAAGTGAAGTGCTGCGAAGTACAACTGCATATTAATGTTCTTCGAACAAAATTATTTATGCGAGTCAAGTGAAAATAATGAATAATAAAAATATAACAAATAATATGAGACACGACCCATTGTCTATATTAGAACACTTCTCATTGGGTAACAAAGTCGTAATTTTTCATTTTTGTCAAAAAGTGTTTATAGTGGTGAAATATGGTTTAGGTTTTTTTTTTAATAAAGTTTCAAAAATTTCTATGTATGTGGAAAATGTAGTTAATTACCAAAGGTTACAATTATTATTTTGAAGACTGCATGGTCTAGGAAGTGTACATTTTTTTATGGGGCAAGTTTCCAAGGGCGGGTTTTCTAGGGGCGAGTTGACTGCCAAAGTGCGAGCCAGCGTGTTATTTGATCACAAGTGCGAGACATCACATCAAGTGTGTGAGCAAGGAGGTTAAATTGGTGTGAGCCAGCGAGCCATGACGTCACGACAATAGATACGAGACGTTAACGAGTTATGCGAGGTATCGGCTGAGATTTGTGGAGTACAATTCAAAAAACAACTATAGGTCTAATAATGAATTATTGTGATGTTAAATAGATAATGTTAGCTATCAAGGAGCGACGTTGTTTTTCATTGGGACCTTCGTCCCTTCAAGGCTAGGCCTACCATCCTAGTCTAAGGCTAGTCTAGCCTGGCTAGCGCGACATGCGGACGTTGGTACCAGTAGGTTAGTCTACAAACGTCGCCTAAAGTAATTGATTTTACCCGGCAGAACGAAAGAAGGAAACTCCGCTTTTCAGTCGTCTTAGGCGCCTGTTTTTTGACAAACAATGACCTTTCAGAGGTCAATTGCTGTCAAGAATATGAATTGGCTGCTTCGCAACAATTAACTTTCTCGTTGATGGCGCTGTCCAGAATGAGAAAAATAATAAAAAATAAGAGACTTGTGGCAAGTCTATAGGCCTTATGTTGCCTTAATCTACGTCGCTGTTGGTTTTGAAAGCGATAGTTTGCGAAGTCCGTGTCTGAAATTTCCGTTACGTCGTTCACTTCGTCAGGGTCCCAGTTACTTCCATTCTGAGAGTTAACATGCTGCTTTAATTTGTTTGCAGACGATGAATAAGAAGGTTCATCACTTACCGGGACGGCGGTAGGCCTATCTGTCGTTGAGGAGGGTTTCACATGTGGCCCTACCTTATCAGTTACTACTTCTTGAACATCATGGGTCAATATATCAGACAACACATCAGGAGTATGAGAATCATTGTCGTTGTCGTTAAAATCCTTATTTGGTGCAATATTTACAAGCTATCCAACAGTGTTTTAACTTGAAGTTGTAGTTGAGAGACTGAGCTGGAAAGTGTTTTAACAGGGGAAGATCCAGTAGGGGGAACGTGCCCCCACCCCCCCCCCTCCGTCTTGCCTCTAAAATTTTAGAATTTCAAGGCATATACTGAAATTAGCGCTCTCACTTATCTATTTTGAATATGTTGTGCCCCACGTTTAAGAAACCTGGATCCGCCCCTGTTTAACGTGTTCAGTTAGAATTTTAACGGTCTCTCTTAACTGAGCATTCGATTCAATGATATCTCAAGGCTCAACTAAAGATTGGCTCGGTTCCACCAAAGTGTTATTTGCTCGAGGACCGGCGCCACCCATTCTATTTTTATATAGTTTGTACAGTAGGCGGGAGTCAGCGCATTCGTTAACTATGCTATACCCAGAGGTGACGGAACTAGAGGGTTATGGAGAGTAATGTGTGACCGGAAATGGTCTGCAGTCAGTTGGTTTTGTACCATGCGCCAGTGATG